ATATATATATATATATATATATATATATATATATTTGATTATATTATGGAGATATCTCTGGCACAATATATTTTGATAATAAGTATGTAAATAGTCATTCTCATGGGATCAAGTATATATAAATACTCATAGTTAATATTAACATATTAAATTATGTGGGTAAATTTTAGGTTAACATATTAATATAATGTAATATAAAAGCGACTATCGGAGTAAAAAGTAGAATTCATATGAATAGTTACAAACAGTAAAACTTCTTAGTAGACACCTAACCGTTATATATGCAGATTGTTTATGTTTAATCCCGCCACAACCATATATTTCAACACATCAAATTCCATACATGTAGAGCAGTACCCTGTATCTTATTTCGAGAATTTCCAAGCATAAAACAATGCTGACTGTTTAAAAGTGCTTTAATAAAGCACTTACATTTTCTATACAATAGTTTAGCCTTTTCGCGTGAAAGTAAATCTAATCGTTATCGAAATTCGGAGCAAAATAATATTTTGATTAATTACTTTATATGTAGCATTTTTAACTTTATGGAAAAGAATCTAATTTCAAAAAATTATAATGTATAAGATTATTTTATAAATAAATATAAATCAGATATTAAAACAACTGATCTATTCCTCAAAACGACCTAAAATTTTTAAAACACATTAGCAAAAGATCTACTTCATCTGAGCATAAAATTGCTATTGATGGTTTAACTTTAAGAACCCATTTTTCAAAAAATCCATTTAATTTGGACAAAACCTTTTATATTTACTTGCTAATAGTTTTTAATAAATGTGTGGGCTTTCAGAATTCGTTAGCTTCCAACAACTTTTTTACCCAAGGAAACTTAAGCCTACAGTTTGGCTCCTCAATATCAATATAATACTCTAATGAATCTTGTAATTTAAAAATGCCTTATAACAATTATAAAAGTTTATTATTTATAACAAAATGATGTCTTTCTTTTTACTATTCTATTAGTCACTTATCCTGATGCCTTCTTCTTGGTAGTTTCAGCACGACGAGTTGCAGGAGCAGCTGTGGTGGTAGTTGTTGTTGTAATGCATAGTGAAGAACCTAGTTTGCATAATTTATATTGTACCAAAGGACTATTTATGATGAGATCCAAAGTAGCTTCCGTTTTTGGTGCCATACTCAAGGATACGATAACAGTAGCCAAGAACAAGAGGACAATCTTTGGAGACATCTTTAACTGAGATTGCAAACTTCTTTGATAAATTCTCTGCAAAAACCTTGGCTTTTATACAAGTTCAAGTTCAACATATTCAACATATTATATAATCGGAGACAATCGAACTATGGCATTTCATATGTTTTAATGGTTGTTAAAGAATTTCCAAAATTAAACCAACAAATGTGTGTCAATATGATTTGGTTTCTGTTTGGTTATCAAGAATAAAACAAAGAGTGCAACAATTTGTGCGGAAGACAAAGAATGGTAAGATTTTGAACCGAGAGGGGAATAATGTTTCACCACCAAACATTGTTCTGCAACCTGAAAGTTTTTTTTGATTGTTTATTCAAATGGTTTCTGAGAAAGGTGAAAAAAAGTAATCATGAAAATAGATTTTAGTACAGTATCTGTGTCACGTCGTCAAGTGCAGAAGATTTTTATTTCGATATATATAAAAAAATAAATAAGTAAAGGAAATGTTTGGATTGAATTAAAAAATAAAAGCTATTCAATATCTTTACGTTGCATAAATCCAATGTGAAAATTAATCAGTTATATTATGTGTCTTACTAAAAAAATTGATATTATAATGCATATAATGTTGAGGATATACATGACTATAAGAGTACCCATGTCAATAGTCACTTTGCTTAAGAAAACAATTCTATATATCTTTACCATTAAGTTGGTGGATTTCACATTGATACTTAGAAAACTATTGTTGCGCCTTACCTTCAATATATAATTAATCAATGTTTTTAACTTTGAGTATTGGTTTCATTTATTGTTCCCATTACAATGAAGAAATAGAACTCATTAAAGTAAGTCCGATATCAAAATTTAGGAAATTTGTCTCAGAAAAGTACCTTCAACTGATGAAGACGTACCAATAGATCTCTAAATTGCAGGACGAGATCCCAAAACATAATAATAAAAATATATATACTATACAGAAAAATTTAAGCAAAGTCTTAATTGATGAGGGTATTATTCATGCACATACTTTCAAAGACTATAGTTGTTAATTACATTTATATATGTAATAAATTGTATATGTATTGTATATATGTGCAGCAATACCTAAGCTTGGCGACCCTGCATTATGGAAACAGGCAAGCGGCAGTTATATTAAACAATCTATTTACCACATTGTTATACACTAATGCTGTTTTCGACTGGGAAATCTGGGAGAACTGTTTCAGTCGACATTCACTTTTTGTGCTATTTTCATTTTCGATTCGAAAACCTCGGGCGAAGCGTATAACACTCAAGATTAATGTATAACATTCTAGACATTTCGCTGAACTATCAAAATTACCCTGATATTAACAGCTATGTGATATGACTTGACAAACAAGTGGTGTGGTGTGATTCGATATATGTAAATATGCATATTTGAAAACTCTAAAAATGTTTGATTTAGCGACAAAATATGACAGATCGAGAGTAGTTTAGTTTATATTCATATAACATAAACAAATTACAAACAATTTCTTACATATATATTTGTTTTCTTCTTTTGTGCCTAAAACTAAAGTGGAAGTGGAGCTTTTGTCCTAAAGTTTATGGTGTGTTAGGAATTATAAATGCCTTAATTTACCACACCTATAAATAATGTAAATATTTAAATTAAAAATAAGTTTCTTCACATTAAGTCATGTACAATCATTTTAGTTGAAGTTCAATGCTCACTGGTTAAGTGCCCATTTAGTAAAAATCTTTGAACTTATTGAATATTTTTAATTGTTTGATTGTTTCCTAAACTTCGAAGCTCATCTATCCCACAAAGACGTTAAAACCCCATTTGGTAATTAAGCGTTACAACATCCCAAAACTGTTAAATAAACTCTAAAATTGTAGTTGTAGTCTGTTTTAGTTATCTTTACTGTTGAATGAAGAACGTGAAGTCTGTACAATTTAAGTACTAAGTATTTTGTGCATTTAGCCAGAAACCCACGTTGAGCATACTTACCGGTTCCTAAACAATAATGGCAAGAAAAAAAAACCAAAAAGTGGAAAACTACTCGAATACGTGCCTAAAATTTTTTTCCCTTTTTCCTTTGTTTTCAATTTTATTTTTCAAACAATCGCTTTTCAATTGCATTAATTGTTATTGAGCTAACGAGAAGTGCAGTGCAGTGCATTGCAATGCAATGCAGTGCAGTTCGATGCAGCCCATAGTCCATGAATGGAGAAGAATGGAACAGAATTTGCGTCAAGTGCACCACACAGAATAGGAGTACACCGAGCGGATTAGGTGGCGCACGAAGGTGTGTAATGTGTGCTACTGACTGTGAAATGGTTAGAATGGATTTACAGATTTGCATGTTTTGCCTAGCCACTGCCAGGCGCGCTGAAATTGAATATTCATAATATGTAACCGGCAACTAGCAACTGGCAACTGGCAACTAGCAACTTGCAACAAAACAACAAATAACAAAAGTTTTTTAACGTTAACTGTGGGAAAAATTACAAGTCGTTGCAATAAAAGTTGTTTTTATATGTTTTTTTATTCTTCGGATTCGTTTTATTTTACCACACTATTTAAATAATAAATTCACACAACTAAAAAATATATATAAATATTTTTATCGCCATATATATTTGTATAGAAGGATGGTTAAAAATATTTTTTAAAAAATAAGAAATAAAATAAAATGCAGTTTCTATACAAATGCGGCTTAATTGCTATAAAACAATGGCAAAATTGCATTGCAAGCGCATTTTTTATTAAATAAATTTTTATTAAATAAAATATTAAAAACAAAAATAAAAAATAAAAATAAAAATAAAAAAATGTTATAAGTACATTTGTGTCAATGAAATTGCTTGAACGCAGCCGATTTGCAGCATAAATGTTGCATGCCTTGTTGCTGCATTTGCGTGGCTCACTGTGAAATGTGCAGCGTGAGGCAGCTGCCGTTGCTGCCTTTACTACCTTTGCTGTTATAGATTTTGTACAAATCATAATTTTTGCATTTTTATGATTTTAAACGATAACGACAGTTGCTTGGCAAGATTTTACTAATGCGATAAGCAAACTCACCGCAAACTCACATGCTGCCACAAATGCCAAATCCACAAATGTTGCTTGCTACACCAGCAACACGATGTCCTTTGGTTTGCTTGGATGAATTATGCATCCCAGTAAAGCAGAGTAGCAGAGTAGCACGTTCGCATGTTTAGGTAATGGCAATGGCAACGACAACGTTTTTGTGGATTTGGATTTGCGAAACTTTGCTATGACGATAAATCCAACAGGTAATTTGAGCTTTAACAACACTAAAGAATTTTTGAAGTTTATCGTAAGTGGTGTGCTCATTTAGTGCCAAAGAAATATGATATCAATGCCTTGCCTTTGCTCTCGTGCAACACAAAAAAAAAAAATTCTGCTAAAGAAGCAATAGCAATGATTGTAGGAAGAATAATACACAATCCACAGCTAAAGCTGTAGACATGAGAGTACAAAACCTCTAATGTCTGTGCTATGAACGAAATGTATGTTAAGTTGACTTGGATTGCTTCTGCTGCAGTTCTTTTCTTCAGAATTGCCATTGTAAGGGCTGGTGTTCAGGCAGACTGAAGTGCTGCCTTGACACAGCGTGTCTGGGAATTAGTGTCTAAATTTAGCTACTCAACAATTGTCTGAACACAGTTGGAGGCATAGATCTCAAAGAACTACTTGTACGAGTATGTAGGTAAAATCATTTAGTGAAAAGAAAAATTTATTAACATACATCTATCCAAACATTAAAATATATTTATTTTTGTACAAAGATGAAGTTTTGTATCTTCTGCGGCACGGACCACTGCAGCTACAGATATATTAAAAAATATAATAGTAATATTTTTACAATTTAATGAGTTTATGTATGCATATATTTCTTTAATGAAAATAATGAGACCACTATTTATTATTTGTTAATATTTCTTTTTTAATGCTTAAAAATATTAAAAAAATTATTAAGGGTTTTTTAAAGTAAATATTTAAAATGTATAATTAAAATTTATTTCTTGTAATTAAAAAAAACATATGTAAAATAAGCACAAACATATTGTTTTTTAAACTGGGTATCAGACGGGTACGAGTTTTAAAAACGTTTGAGAAGTATATGCTACAGGTTTCTTTTCAAAATTTATATATATAATAATGCGATGACTAAATTTTGCTATTCTATCTTAAGTATATCCCATTCTGTGATTCCGGTTAGTACAATATTCCTATTCTATTTTTATTTATTTTATTTATTTTTTTTTATTTTATTGTTATTGTTTTTTAAACTGGGTATCAGACGGGTACGAGTTTTAAAAACGTTTGAGAAGTATATGCTACAGGTTTCTTTTCAAAATTTATATATATAATAATGCGATGACTAAATTTTGCTATTCTATCTTAAGTATATCCCATTCTGTGATTCCGGTTAGTACAATATTCCTATTCTATTTTTTATAATGCCAGTTTTCACACAGTCCTCACCTTTCAGTACTAGAAAAACACTAGAAATGAAAGAGTACTGTGTGATACTGTGTGTCAGACCTTATAAGCATAATGAAAACTTATATTGAAAGTAACAACTTATGTTGTCACTTTACGCATTTGAAGCAATGCTTGGAAGACATATATTTTTTATTCAAAATAAATGGCAAATTTATTAATATACACTTTACACATTAATCACTGTTGACCTACCTTTAATAGAGGGAGCTTAGAACCCTAGTGCTTTAATCCAAATACAACCTCAAGAAGAGAATTTTTTCTTCAAATATTAAAATCAGAAAATGAAGTATCGAAATAATATGAAAATAGTAATATACGTATATATATATATCTATATATTATATTTAATGTATATGTATAGTTAATTTCCACGGTGATTTGAATTTACAATTAAAAAATATTATTCTAAAACTTTTTTTTATTAAAATAACTGCATCTAGTAACTAACACTAACTATATGTCTATATATTGCAAGTCTAGAAAAAGGTCCTAAATTAACACTGTTATAATATATAACGGCACTATTTTGAACTTACATTTATTGTTAACACAATGAAAAAAAATGATGAAAATAAAGACTGTGAAACGGATTTTGTTCAAACTATAAATTTTAATCTAATTGTACCACATTAAACTGTTTCGCTATAAAGTACTTATTTAATAGAATTAACTATTGAATTGAAAAGTTTAAAAAGTTTTAGATCCATTAGTTTTACTGTTAATAATAATATATAAGCGAATCCATTAATATTGTATAGTACATTGAAGTGTGGGGTCCCTTCTTTCAGAGTAACCCACTAACAATATGTTTTTGCAGTGGCATATTAAGGGGATCAGGAAATATATTCCCCACTTGACATTACAATAATGAGATTATAAGAACTAAGATTTAGAGGTAATTCATTGACCATACGCCTTTGGAGTGGCGTATTAAAGGGATCCGGAAATATACCATACTTAACATAACAATCATTAGATTATAAGAACTACATAGGTTTTTTTTTTATTTTAGTAATTATATTAATTCTAAATTTTATTGAAATTGTTCCAACAGATCTTTAAAAATGTCTAAGAGATTGCGATATCGATCCAATATCGTACACTACGCCTAGAGTTTATATATTTCTATGCAGTATTCTCCAAATATGGTCAATTGAAATGCCTACAACATTAGCAAACTTTTTAATTTTAATACAACGATAGTCCAATATCATTTGATGCACTTTTTGGATGTTTTTGTTTTGGGCTTCAACTACTATTTTTATAAGTTAAGCTGATTCTATTGTATATGTTAATATAGAGTTCCTATAAACTTTATACTAAGACTCAATTTGCTTCGACTCGTATATATTTTGCAATTATATTTAAATGGATCGCAATATTAGTTTCTTTTGCACATTGGAAGTCGGCCAATGATATAAATTATTAACACAAATATTATTGTAAAAGAAACTGATATTTTATTATATTTTTTTATTTATTTATTTGTTTTTTTAGTTATTTTAATTATTCATAAAACTAAAAAATTATTTTGATATGAATTAACTGTACTCTCAGAGGTAAAACTTTCGGAACATACTACGTGTATATATATGGTCATATAGAGTTAATATTAAAAAATCTATAAACTAGAAACCTAAATTTTTATGATGTTACTAAAATATTTATTTGATACGATTTTATTTAATGGTGAGAAAGTAAAAACATGTCTGCACCAACTTCATTGTAATACATTAAGACTGAAAAGTTTTCGGAAATTCTCATTTAAAATTCGCGCGCTGTATATTTTTCGATATTTTA